CAGCTTCGTGGAAGTCTCGCAAGATCTATATATTAATCCAACGTCATATTTATGCTGACACATTCTTCCATCCTATGCGAGCCTCTTTTTTTTGAATAATAATTAATGTTGTTGTTGTTGGAAAAAAGGGCATGTTCAATTTGAAATTTGGTACAGCAAATATGTAGAAGGAAATGACAAAAATTGAGTGGGCTCGTTTTCAATCAGAAACCTTCTTAGACTTATTTTAGACCCGAGCTAACATATTTATCAAATAAATTTAGATCAAATTCATACATTTAATTACACCTATTTAATTAAATAAGTCAGGTTTATTTTTTTAAAACTCAATCTATAAACCTAATAGGTGGTTTATTTATACACACATATTATGTAACATATTATAGATGTATCACTTTCACCATTTAATTTTTAATAATCAATTCTTTTTTATTTTCAATAATGTTTTCCATGAGATTAGATTTATATATTAATTTTAATGTTATTATTTTATTATTATATTGTATTGAAGGTTGGCAAGTCATTTTAATTACTATATATATAATTGATAAATCATGTTATATATTGTATACTAATAGTTTTAAGGTATACTTGAAATATTCAAAATTAAAATACGAGTCTATTTAAAAGGTTTGTCTTTAAGTAGGCTTTTGTGTAAGGGGGTCATAAATTAGGACTTATCCATCAATCTAACTATAATAAATCAAGGACTAACCCAAAAGGATTATCCTATAAGAGATTAACCTAAATAAATTTTTAACATGTATTTTCACAAACGATTCAATATAAAGGAATCCTAAATCTTTAAAATATCTCAAGAACTCATATCATTCAATTAAACATATGCGAAAGCATGATAAAAGAAATACATCAACATGGAAGAAGAGCTTCCCCCTTTATTTTCTCTTTATGCCTTACTCTACAATATATATATACATATTTACGACATAACACTTGGCCACTCAAACCCTTCCATAACTGACAGCGGGAAGCCAAGGTTTCAATTACATTTATCACAATGACTCTCACCTAATTATCATACTTTATATATCATCTATTCATCAATAGCCTAGTATATACATGAATTTTCCTTTTCATTCACACATCATTAATTTCAACTGCTCACCCTTAGACATAAAAAAACACAAGGGGAGACCATAACAAAATTCAAGTTCTCAAATTAGGCAATATTAACTATTTCTACTTGCACAAATATTTTAGCTCGTTAATATAGCACAAGCATCAAACCACATTCCCCAGGGCCCAAAATACATTTCCCCCAACACAAAACCCATAATGCAAGTGGATCAAGAATATATTATCCTAGTTGGCAATATCATAAACTAAATACACATATCAAAAAAAAGAGAAAGGCCTATAGAAGTGATTACTATCACTTGGCCTAATACTCCTTTCCCCTGTTCTTCTGAGATGAGCTAGCTCCTGTAATATGTTAAAAAAGAGGGGTGAGTACAACCACTCAGTAATCAAAGTACATCTAAGTTATATAAATGCATGCTAATTAATCATGAATGCAAATGGCCAATAAATTTATCAAGGTGACCATTCAAACAATCACATTAATAACATGTTAATCACATTAACATTTAACTCATGTGAATAATTTCAAGAATAAAGTCAAGTGCAAAATTTGCACAAATAGTCACATATACATTATTCGCATAATTACTACATGTTCTCATTTCTACAATTATAATCATATTTTCAACATAGCCATCAATCACTCAAATGGCATGATAGTAATAATATGCATGATCGATCTCTTCCTTATATCCCCCTTATTTCCTCTGACATGAAATCCGTGGGACAATAATCGAAAGGGACCGTCCATGTGGTGAGACTACCCAAGGCCTTAATCATATAATGAGGGGCTACCAGGCCAGGGTTACCTTACTCACTAATGAACACGATTTCCCCAAAATCACACACTATGGAGTGTCATACTCAAAACTAGCTTTACCAAAAACTCTAGGTAGGGCAGTAGGGTCAAGTCCCTTAATAGGAACAATGTTACAGTACCTTATAAGGTAAGTAGCAGCTATAACCCCTAGGATTATTGGTTAATAGCCAAGTACCATATGGATTTTGCATAACTGCTAACTCCTTCACTAAGGTGAACTCCCACCATATGATCATGCTCATGAGAAAATGCATTTTAAAAACTCATATATATAATTCAAAATTATCCCACATGCTCATCAACTTTCTTGCTCAACAAACATCAAGAATCATCATATTTCAATCATGTCTCTTGCATCAATTTTTATATTAGCATCATATAAAACTCAACATGCTCATACAATTCATCACCGTGCATAATCCACAACTTATAACCAATAGTGTACACATAATCATCAACCATCAATCTCATTACTCACACCAAGTCATAATTAATTTGGTCACAAGTCATACAGTCTCAAGAAAGCCACATGCATTACAAACAACCACTTCAAAATTTAGACACACATATATATATATATTCTTTTATTTCACTAACATAATTAATTAAGTAACATACAAATGTATAAAATAGATTTTCCCCGATTACCTCAACCTTTGAGAGGTAAAAGGTTACCCCTCAAGTTATAGCACTTTCAAAGTTTTCCAAAGCTTGAACGGTGTCAAAAGAAAATTAATCTACAATTGATCATATCCCAATGTGTCAATAATATTATTAATACAATTTTCACTCATACTCTAATATCTAAGTATTATTTTATTTTATTTCATTTTATTTTTAAGACCTTAGTCTTAGCCTCTTGAGTTCTAAAATTTAATTTTCATATATTTGAACCTATCTATTTGGTTCAATAGTCTCCTTCACAATAATTTAATTCAAATAATTTTCTAATATCAAAATTTCCCTTTTTATTCCAAAAATTCGCACATAAAAATACCCAAAAATTGCAAACTTGATTTCAAGCTTAGAATCATTATTCTATAGTCATAATAATTTATTTTTATCTCAATAATCATCTAAATATCAACAAATCATTTATATTTTCAGATTTAACCAAAAATCTACTCATAAAGATCTAGGGATAAACTCAAATGCCTCAAATTTTAATTCTATTAACAAAATAATACTTTAGAATATTTATTATACTACTAACAACCCCAACAATCAGATTTTCTCATCAAAAATTTATCTCTCTTTCAAACCATAAATTTTTTAAAATCTTAAAATCTGTAGCTCAAGGGGAAAAACGACTAAGAAAAAAATATTTAGAATACTTACCTAATTTTAAAATACTTAAAATTTTATTTGAAGTATCCTATTACGAAGCTTAACCATTAAAATCTCTACCGGTGATCTGCGTCCTCTTGCTCTCCGTCGAAGTTTCGTGCCCTGGAAGACGAAAGAGAAGCATGGGAAAAGTGATTTGGTGAGAGTTTAAAAATGTGGCGTGGGCCCGGACGGTAAAAGCTCCTCCTTCTAGTTTTATTTTCTCTCACCTTAACCTTTCGTCTCTTCCTTTGTCTCTTTCTTTTTGTATTATTTTTTTTTTGTCTTTATATGCCATCACACACACATACTCTCTCATTTTCATTCCTCGCCTCCCCCTTTTCAGTTTTTTTAATTTACTTTCCTAATAATAATAATAACAATAATTCTATTTTCTAAAAAAAACTTAGATTTGAATTTATGCTAAATTAAATTCAATAATAATTTTTTAATTAAAATTATTTATATTTAAATATTTCTATAAAATTATTCATTTGCCCTTGATTCACTTAATTAATCTTAAGTTAATTTTTAGGATGTTATATTTTGGGTCAAACTTTATGTAGGCTTATGCTTGAGTTGTCAAAAAAGCTTTATATAGACTTCACACTAGACTCGGCCATCATGCTTTTGACTTGCCAAACTAGCTTAAGCCTGTTTGGCCAAATTTAGTTGAACTTAGTTTATTTTTACCCATAGAGCCAATCATCAGATACTCCAAAACAAAAGGACTTTTAAATCATTATAGCAAGTGAAAATTTAAAAATACCTAGATTTAGATGCAATAATAAAAATATTTTTAGGAAAATAAAAAGATTGAGGACACAAAATTATAGGAAGTAGTAGTGTTCATGGGACGAGACAACATTAGGATATTCCCGTTCCCAAAAATGACGAGGATTAAATTTTTTGTTCCCATATTTCATTTCATCTTGAAAGTGTAATGTCTTGTTAAGAATAATTAAGATAGGATCGAAACAAGATTGAGACATCCTCATAAAGTATATAACATAGGACACAAATATGAATAATAATATTCATCAAAATATTAAATCACATAACTTGTTAAGCTTGACACTAAAATAATGTGAGTACATAAATCGCAACGATTTAAAATCAATTATTAAGTTATATGATTGCAATTATAAGTGTATAATTTAAAGTTAAATATATTTGAGACAAAACACATTAGACAAAAATTACATATGACTTTCACGTATCAAGAGCAAGAGAAGTTAGACATAATATCAAATCATTATTCTTTTTATTTTCATTTAGATATTTGAATATCTCAATTAAAATTATTAAATAGATTGATATAAAAATAAATTATATTTAAATAATTAATATATTGTTGAAAAAGAGACTACACTATGCTGTTTGTCCTGTGTCATTAAAATTTCAGTATCAATAACTTTTAGTTTTAATTAGGGATTATAAGTATTAAAATTATAATAATATATTTTATTATTAATATAATTAATCTCGAGAGCAATTCCACGTTTTGTCCATGCAAAAGCCCGATCTCATTTTTGCCTTAGGCCAGGAAAGGCCATCTTGATAATTTTAGGACAGAATCAGGCCGACAAGAACAAGTATGAGGCTGAACAATCCTAACTCGAAGAATGATGAAAAAGCCATGTTAAGCCTATGCTGGTCTCAAAAACCAAAAAAAAAAAAAAAAGGCCTACCTTCCATCCAAAATGAGAACGTTTCAATTTATTACTATTATTATATTTGCGTTGGAAAGCATTCTCATTTTAACCAAATGCCTTTTCTTTTCGTCCTCTAAACGTGAGAAGGTCCTGTCGACGACTCCCACCCCTCAGCACGGAGGTATTGCCGGTATTCTCCACTCCACACCGTCGCCCCTCCTCTATCGCCTTCCTCAACTCCGTACACCCACGCCATTATATCTGGTGCAACCACCTAATTTAATCATCTCTAGAGCTCACATCAACTCTTGTTTTTTTTTTTTTTTCCAAACCCTTTCGTGTTCTTGGTCCTGTGTCTATCCTCCACGGCCTATAGTCTGGACTTTCTTGATCTACCACGTTGACACGAATGGTTATGACGTAGGGTTTTTGTGCTGGCCTTCCTCTTCCCTCGTATCTTGGAGCAGTTCGAGCAAGCTCTTGTATATCTGAGTGAGCTTATAGAGTCGGACGTATCATTTAATGGACGAATATGGTAACCGGGTGAGTGAAAGCCCAGGTTCAAGGCATAATTTCCTGTACTCATTCGCTGCGGATGGAGGTTCAAGCACGGGAAACCATCACCAGTCGTACTACCTTTCATCTTCAATCAGGTGGATCGGAATGCTATCAATCTGTGAAAACCAAAGCCAACACCTCCAATCACACTCAGATTTTCCACTATCCTTTGATCAGACAAAGTCTTCAAACTCGCGGAGGAAGCCAAACCTCTGACGAAGTTGAATCTCTCAAAGCTAAAATCATTGCTCATCCTCAATATCCCAGCCTTTTGGAAGCTTACATGAACTGCCACAAGGTGAGAGTAATTAGTTTCTCAGCGTTTTTTTCTGGTTTATATCCGTAGATTGATAGTTAATGATAGGACTGTAGGTAGGAGCTCCGCCGGAAGTGGTGGCGCGTCTGACTGCGGCGAGGCAAGAGTTCGAGGAACGACAGCGATCTTCGGTCAGATCGAGGGAAACTTGCAAGGACCCAGAACTCGACCGATTCATGGTGGGGGGTTTCTTTCCCTTTTAAGGATTTGTTTGGCTCGCTTGGTAATTATTAGACGAAAAGCACTTGTTCGACGAGGTTGTGTTGGTGCCGTGATGACAGGAAGCTTACTATGACATGCTTGTGAAGTATGGGGAGGAATTAACAAGGCCAATTCAAGGGGCAATGGATTTCATACTCAAAATCGAAGCTGAGCTCAAGGTGCTTTGTAATGGACCTGTACGCGTCTTCCCCGGTACGGATCTATCTATTTTCTTGCTTTTCAACTTCTGTTCCTGAATCATCAATAATTTCCTATCGTTCAAACCAAACAAACTGATGATCTGATACGGTTTATCTTTGTATCCGTATAGTTTTAGCTGTGCAAACAGTTATAGGGCTACGGTTGTCGGCAACTTTGACCAAAATTTCCGTATCCAATGCGGGGGAATGGACTCAGAAAGAAAGATGAATTTGATTTGATGAAGCATAACCCTAATAACCATCTTCTATATGTACCAGGTTTTAGGTTTCCGAGAGTAGACCCGTTAAATATTCGCAAGATGTTTTCTCTTTTCGGGCTAAAACCCAAATTTACACGCTCCATTATTCTCTGTCTCCTCTTCGCTTTCCCGAACTTCTGAATTCTGACAAAATTATTCTTCTAGGGCTTCCTGGCTAGCTATTAAAAACCATAATATATCACTTGAATCGGTGCCTATATACCATAATGAATCTACTTTTCGACGATTTGTTTAGGGTTTTGTGATGACATTCCTGATTCATGTACACCCCTCGTCATCATTGTAGTGGCGAGGTCGAAGCTCTAATGGTCTAGGCCCTCCGGGGCCCCCAACAAATCATAATAATTATTAATTAATTCAATTCAGATTATTTTAGTCTAACGGCCGGGCATATGGGGGTGGAAACGGTAGTACCTAATGATGATAATAAAAAAAAAAATTACAGTGGTTAATTTCTTTTTGGCTGATTTGTGTGGTCAATTTCGACTGATGCATAATTTGGTTTTAGACATGTATAAACTGGAATCTGTCAAAGACCAGAATATTGGGCATTGAAATTGAAATAGGGCAAAACAATTTGACGTGACAATAATAAAATAATTTTTCCTGCATTCATTGAATGCTGTTCCAGTAATTGTTTAAGAGAGATACAATCCGCATAAATTTCCGTGAATTTGAATTTGCATATGCCCTCCAAATTCTTTGTTCTACTTGACTAGGTTGGCTCTCAGCCAGGGTCCTTGCCACTGTATAGCCATTTTTGACAGTGCCATACCATGTTGCCCCGCTCCAAATTAAACCAGCAATTAACAACACATTATTATTATTGTTACGTTGATGCTGAATGTCACTGACAGAGCTTACGGTTCATTTACGCTCAATGATGATATGCAAATAAGACACACAAGAACGAAAGCAGGCATTAAAAGTGTGCGGGTGCCTATTAAGGAGCTTAAGGAATGACACACGCACACTCTAATCCTAGGTTCGGTCTGTAACTACGGCTCTAAAATGTTCTGTATAGATATGTTGTCTTTATTTGCTTCTTTTTCTCCGTTTACAACATCATTATACGGAGGAATGAAAAAAATCGATCGAATTCAGGAAATAGTATAATGTGATCATGTTTTTCACTGCGTACTAACATTTCCACGCTTAGTTATTAAGAAAGTTGTGAATGGCCAAATTTTGGACCAATATGCAGAAGATAAGGGCGACGGCGTGGATTCATCTGAAGAGGATAGAGATAATAGTTGTGGAGAAGAAGAAATGCCCGGAATCGATCCTCGAGCTGAAGAACGTGAGCTTAAGAACCACTTGCTAAGAAAATATAGTGGGTACTTAAGTAGCCTCAAGCAAGAACTCTCCAAGAAAAGGAAGAAAGGAAAGCTGCCTAAAGATGCTAGGCAACAGCTACTGACCTGGTGGGAATTACACTATAAATGGCCCTATCCTTCGGTATGTGCATGTTATACGTAGCATTCTCTGTGAAATCTCACTAAGCTATAGCTAGCATATGTATCAGCTTGCGTAGTGATAATGAAACGCTAAGTTGCTTTGATAAGATTAGCATTAATAAATTATTTTGCTACAATGAATTGAGTAGGAGTCAGAGAAGGTGGCATTGGCAGAATCGACAGGGTTGGACCAGAAGCAAATAAATAACTGGTTCATAAATCAGAGGAAGCGGCACTGGAAGCCATCAGAGGACACGCAATTTATGGTGATGGAAGGTCTGCATCAACGGGAGCCCAGTCTTTATAGACGTTCACCACATGGCTAATGCTCACTGCCGTCTTGGACCATGACCCCCTGCAGCACTTCCTGATTATATGTGTGTGTATGTATATTTGGGAAACAAGTTCTTGTTTCTTGTGCAGTGTGGGAATAATAGAGCAGTAATGGTGAGATGTAACTTTCCCAGTGGTTGTGCCTTCTGTTTGAAGTATCGGATGAAAATACCTTGTTCGGGTGTTGTTGGAGACCCGTGGTCTTCTTATAACGTGAGGGATTGCGGGAGATTATTGTCATTTCTTTTCATATCTAATTATTGTAATTTTGCTGTTTTATTTGTTGTAAACAGAAGGCGAAATTCGCGATTTGGAGACCCTGGAAGTTCTGCTACATATGCTATAGCTAGCCTAGCTAGCCTCTGTGTGTATATATAAAGAGAACATATTCATCGTGAAACCTGAAATTCCATGATGTTAACTCTCCCTTATTTTTCGTTAAATATCTCAACCGTATAAATTGACGTTTCGGATGAAATTTTATAAATACTCATTTTCTAACATCTATATATGTAAGTAATTTACATAGGTCATACCCGTGCAACGCATGGGATTGAAGACTAGTTTTGCCTTGTACTTTGAACACCTTTATCGACACGTTTATTTGTTCGGGAACATGGTCTGAGAAATACACGTTTTCCCACAGTCCACAGATAGATTACAATTTTTTAAGATGCTGAAATATGACACAAATTCGTTCTTTATGTGTTACTGTTAAGGCCGGCTTAAGGATCATGAGATGGTAAACTCGTTGGGCCAGGCCCAGTGTTAGAACATAAATATTTGAAATGTAAAATTAAATTAGGTTTCCTGATCCGTGCGTCATGGCTCATGATGCATGATAAGTGAATGGATAAAACCGCGTGCTTATGGTGGCGTGTCCGACTTATCATTAGTGCTCATCACTCAAGTATTTATTAGGGCGATGAAATTGAACCATTAAGATCAAAAACTAAAATATCATTTAATAAAATAAAAAGTTATAAAATTATAAAAAAAGTTATCATTAATCTGGTCTAGATTTAATTTGAAGAGTTTAATTTAATATTAAAAGTTATATAATTTTACATATTGACTATCCAGATATGTTATACGCAATCCATATTAATATTAAATTCTTTTATAATTTTATTTTAATAAACATAACATTGATAACAAAATATATAAAAACCAGATTTTTTAAAAATTAAAAATTAAAAATTTTAAATATGAACTATGCAAAATACATTTTAATAGTTAATATATAAAAATTATATTAAACTGGGCCCTTCAAGGTAAATCTAGGCCAGGTTGATAATAAAAGATTTATTAAAATATTTTTATAAAAATTTATTTTAATAAATATAAAATAAAAATATGAAAATACTTTAAATCTTAGCTATTCAGGTGAAGATCCGGATTGTCTACATTTTATTACACTGATGAGCATATAATGAGCACTAAAGATGGACCTATAAGCCCTCGTGCTTATGGTGAGATTATTGCAAGGACACGTGGAGGTGAGTGGAGCAAGGTGGTTGCCGGTTACGTTATACTATCAGCAGAGAAGGCTGGATGGAGAGGTGTGAAATGTATTGTGATGTTTCTTTCCAATCCCATCCACTGGGAGTTTTACTCACTCTCTCTGACATTTCTATTTCTCTTTCCTTTCTGCACTTCCTTTCTTGTTGATATGCCTGTAATATGATATTCGAACGTTATATCAATATTCTGAGAATCAATTGTTATATTTCTATAGCAATGGCCAAAATAATAAAGCATATATAATAATTGAAAAAAAAATAAATCTATATATATCACTAACATAATAACACAAATATTTAACCTATATATTTATATTTAATCTTACATAAATATTTAAATATATATCTTTATTTTAAAATTTTGCTCATTAATTTTTTATGGCATAGAATAATTAATTATTATGTTTACTATAAAATTTTTAAAAACTTCTTTCTCATTATAAACTATCATTAAATTGGTGAAGATTTTATATTTTCCATAAGCATTGAATAATTTAAATACGTCCCTAGAATCTAAAGTTATTTCAATATAAAAAACTATATTACTTGCTTATTGAATTTACTATTTAATTTTTTGTTACAATGCTTTATAAAATTTATTAGTAATAATTCTGATAATTTCTTTCATCAAATATATTACCTGCTTATTGAATTTACTATTAATTTTTTGTTGCAGTGCTTTATAAAGTTTGTTGGTAATAATTCTCATATTTTAAGAGCAACTGTAATGTTATCTTGTTAAAAATAAGTAGATCTTATAATAACCATATTAAGCTACTATAATGATTAGACTATACATGCTTAAAAAATTATTATAAAATTAAAATAAAAATTCTATCTAGTGTCTCAAAGTTTTTATCACGTGCTAACTTATAACTCCTATATTTTATTAAAAAAATTTAAAAAGTTAGGGAAGACTATGACCCTTGCTGGTCTCTTCCTGTCTCTACCCCTGTATCCAAGCAAAAGTTCATATTTAATTTGTAAGTCTTTAAACCATTATTGACTGAGGGTACGGGATCAAATTCTCTCGCACTCTTTCAGTGTTGAGGCACTATTTAACATTAACAAGCCACTTGAGCCCAGCTAACCTAAGCTCTTTTATTTATTGAAAATGAAAAAAACTGCGTGTGTAATAGAAGGACTTGAGAAAATATTGCTCTCTCTCACAATATAAAGACAAAGAGTTTGTTACAACAGCCTGGGACTCATCATAAACGTAAGCGTGACCATCGAAAAAGACAAACAAATAAACAAATAAAATAATACAAAGAATAATAACAAAATAACAAATAGCCTTGTAACTCTAGATGCACAGCTTTTGTGTGCGTTGTTGGGCTTTTCTGCTTTATAGTTCTTGGGCTTGGTCTGTTTCTTAAGTACAGCATCATCCCCCCTTAAGCCAGAGTTGATCCAAGACAAGCCGAGTTTGTCTCGAAGAAATACAAAGTCAGAATAAGCCACAAACTCAAGAGTATCATCCTTTTGAATCAGTAACTCTACTTGATATAAACATCAATTGTCTTTATCATTTAAGTTATTAAAATTTAAATTAATAATTTAGATAAACTCACACTCATTCATTAATTGTAATGAAGTATAAATTTATAACCATAATTTAAATTTTAATGATTTAAATGATTCAAACACTTAATGTCTATGCTAAATACAATCACTTAATCCAAATCCCTTTTTACATGAAAATCAAGAGATGCTGTTCCTTGAAGATATTGTAATGAGTGCTTTACTGCTTCCCAATGGAGAAGTATGGGACAAGACGGAAATTGACTAGGTTTGCTTACCAAAAGCAGTATCAAGCCTTGTATTTGCCAAATACTGCAACGACCTTATAACGGGCTGATACACTGTGCTATCTTCAACCGACAAAGGAGAGCTATCAAACTTCGACAATGTTTGGCCAGTAGACATGGGAGTCTTACAACAGAGACGGTGCACGTGGACCAATCGGTTGCTCCATAGTAATGTTTAATAATGTTGAGTTTGGCTTAATAAAGTACGAGATATATGTGGAAAGAAAAATATGACTGTAGTTGAAATTAGGCTCTCTCTCTCTCTCTCATGATTTTAGCTGGCTGAGCACAAAAGCAAGACTCCGTTTTATGCCAGAAAATGCAAAATATTAAGTAATCATATTCTGGGTAGCGTGTAAACACAATTGTTGGGAAAGGGTTTACCTCTCCGTCTCCAAGGCTATGCTAAAATAAAGCACACTAATTTCACATAGAATTAGGAACCTCTTATGAATAGAGCGGGAGGCCTAAATGAGAGTGAAGGCATGCACTCACTAAGAGGGACCTCTTTTAAAAAGATCTTTTGATTTTACATCTCACGTTTTATGAGATATTGATTATATTTTTTAATATTATCTTTTATCTTAATTTACCAATCATTAAAGAGAATGTAACATAAATTCCAAAAAATTTCAATTAAACAATTTAAAATTGGAAATTTATTTTTTGTGAGTGGTCAATAATTTAATCACCTCTCATTAATTTAAGCAAAATAGTTGAAAGTGTACGTAGGGATGGAGTGTGTGTGTTGATTCCCTTCAGTTCTAATTATAATTCAAAGGTGAATTTTTTAAGTTTTGTTTATAAGTCATGTCTTGTATTTTTTATAACAATCTTTTTCTTATATCCTCCAATAAATACCAGCGAGAGAAGGTATCAATATGTTATTAAAGGATACATATTTAATAGAAGTAGGGTTAAAAACTTATTAAATTTTTAAATATATTTAATGAGTCTTAAAATTTACTATCTTGATTTCTATAAAATATGTTAAAAGTGACTGTAAATAACTTTATTTTTGTTTCAAATTATAATATAACTTTGGAGGTATGTATTTCTTTGTTCCAAAAATATAAAATAATTTTACAAAAATAAAGTTTTATTTTCATCCAAGAGGAGAGATAATTAAAATTATTGTAATGTAATGTGATTAATATGTAAATTTAAATTATATTAAAATAAGAATATTCTTGAAAAATTTATATTTTTCTTTTAAAAATTAAGTTTATAAAGTAATATTATTAAATTTTATTGATTGTAATTAGTGTTATATCAAATTAAATTATCTTCAAATTTAGACTGGATCAATAGAAGGAACTGTGGCTCGTGGATGATTCATATTTAAAAATTTGATATTTTTGGAATAATCGGGCTTCGCTTCGAAGCCCTGCCCTTTTAAGCCCTAAAAAGGACTCGGGCGGTCTATGAAACTCATTTTACTTTTTTTTTGGGATATTGTAGGTGATGATGATGAAGAAGCCTGTGAAGCTTTAAATTTGGTATTGTAGGTGATGATGATAAAGAAGCTGCAGAGATAGTTTGATATTGAGCTTTTGCCTTCATCTTCCACAAGTGGACCTACATCTGAGGGTTCCAATATTTTTTTGTGAATGACGATGATGGAGATATTGATTAGAATTGATGATGATGTTTTCCTTCATCTTATTTAAACTTTTAAATTTGTTATTTATTTTTTAAATTATGTGAGACTTTGGTTGGATGTATGTTGAATTTTAAAATATTTTAAGTACATTTCAATGTTAAATTTTATTTTATTTCTATCAGGGTTTATGGGTCCGGCCCTCAGTCCTTTGAATAAGGGTCGAACTTTAATTTTAAGATAAAATTAAGATAATCAAGTTTTAGAATTTAAGTCCATCCATTTATCAACTCTAACCAGCATTCATATGTGATTATGCGAGTGAGAAATTATGGCAGATACGGAGTGGTTATGCGTAAATTAGAGAGGGATGTTTTAGACTTTCGGGGGTAAGTAGAAGGTTGGTTGGGGAAAAATTTTTCACTGGAGCTAACATTATTCATAATTTATTTAATAAAAATATAATATATAAATGATATTAAATACTTTCTTAATCTTATTTATAAAATAGAAAGAAAAAAATTTGGTTTTGTTTATTCACTTCATTTGTTCTGGTCTTCTCTGAACAATGTGCTGGAGTATGGGCCTGCCCAGACCTGGGCCGCCTAAGGATGATGGCTGGTGGGGAGGCCCATTGGGAGATTGATAGCTGACGGGGGTGGTTGCGCGCTGACGTGGATGTGACTTTGGGATTGGGACGCATGCCCCATCTTTCTCACTTTCTTCCACGATCCTATCCCCTCCCCATTTGTTTACTTAACAAAGTGCTGTGTCCGATAAGATGAACTTTTTCGGCCAGCACGATAAGGTGAACTTGTATATAATTAAAATTTCATTTCTATATTCTTTCCTAATTAATATATCTTAATATTCATTTTATCTGTCCATTTGATTGATCACCCATTTGATTTAATGGCCATATATTATTTATTACCATCACTTAAATACTATTTTAATTTGAAAACATCGTAGTGTTTTTCATGATAATATATTCTGTTTAACATAATCAAAAATTGTACACTGTTAATTCAAATAATCAAATGGCGTTTAGATTTTTTGAAAGATTAGTTTTATCATTGTGGGCTGTAAAATGTATATCTTTAAAAAAAAGAAGAAAAAAAGAAAAAAGTTACCGAGAAAGTTTGGTAAGGAAAGTGACAGAATCGGACGGAATCCCAAATCGTTCACCAAAGTAATAAGAAGAACAAACTGATCTACCGGTTTCAATTAAGTCCAAAATTTGCTCTTTATAAGGAGTTGGCGTTATCCCCTTCGTCTCCCTTATCTCGTTGCTCCTCACGACTGCCTGCCTCCACCATGATTCTCAGGAACGTCCGCTGCGTCGCTCGTCTGCTTCTTCCCTCTCATCCTTCTTCTTCCCTTATCTCAGAGGTCATAATTCTTCTACTCTCTTGTTTCTTTCTTTTTTATGTTAATTTCCACACCATCATTCCCTCTCTCTTTCTGTTCCTTATTTGTCAGCAACCGTGTTGCATACATACACGTGTTTAGCCATCAATCTTCATCTTTTTCTTCTTCATCAATTCATCCAGTCATGTTACCCCGTATATGGTTTGTTAATGATCCAATGGGATGGCATAGGCTCGTGCGCACGAGTCAGAATTCCCAAATTAAAGCAAGTACTTAACGTCTTGTTTCAAAATATTATCTTCTATATTATTTATAACTCATTTTTAACATGTTTTAACGAATCAATAAAAACTTTAAATCTTACTAACTCTATTCTAAAATTAATAAATAAGATTAAAGGAATAAAATTGAAATATATATATTTGCATTATTATTAAGGGCTAGATGCGCGCTCCACAAAAATTATTGTCAAAATTGTCAAAGACACTTCTTTTTTGTTTTGTCAAAAAGTATAGAATACCTCAAACGAAACCAAATTTGGGGGACAAAGTGCTTTCTCAATCGTCCACTCTTAATTGGCTGGCTGCGACGCTTGGCCATCGAGTCTTTATCGAACGTATTTCCTTTGCCTCTAGTCATTATCGTACCTGAGCAAGGGGTAAGTTTGTCTTGGTGGTTCAAATCTCTGCAATTTCAATAATTCAAACAAATTAACGAACATGCTTGTTGTTTTGAGCTCCATTAGCATAGACTCTAACTTCCAAAATAGCGTGCGATAATCTGACCCACATGCTTCGCAAATAATGGCGGTAGATAGGACGCAACTGCCGTGGCTTTGCATCTCAAGTCTCCTCCCTCCAACGAGTGGCCGAACCATCATCTCCTTCACCCACAGGTAGTAACCAATCCCCTTATAATGCCACATTCATTTGTCCTCTCCAGTACTTAAAATTCCAACAAACCACGAGTTCATCATAGAACACTTTCAGCTTCTTTTATAACTATTCATGACTTTCATTAGCATATGCAGTTTGTTATTATTTAATATTATATATATAGGTACAAAGAATATTAAATAAAAAAATAGACATGCAGATCAAATAAAAGTGGAGGTCTATTTTTTAAATTATTTTTATGGAGTTGGCAGGGAGGATGAGAACGCTGAAGTGGAGTGGGATGGTCTAGGTTTTGGACTGATGCCGACTGATTACATGTACGTGGCCAAGTGCAGCGAGGACCCAACTTTGGACGAGGGCAACTCAGTCTTTTCGGGAACATTCAACTGAGCCCATCTGCTGGAGTTCTAAACTACGGCCAAGTGAGTAGAGTTTAACTCAGAGACAGATAGATAAATCTGCAGTTGAAGTGAAACCCGAAATCCATGCCCTTGTGTTTTCGGACCCGAAATTACTGTCTTGTCTGAACAGGGATTATTTGAAGGCACAAAAGCATACAGAAAGGAAAATGGGCACCTACTCCTGTTTCGACCAGAACAAAATGCCATGCGCATGCAGGCAGGGGCAGAAAGAATGTGCATGGCAGCACCGTCCGTGGATCAGTTTGTGAATGCTCTCAAGCAAACTGCCCTGGCTAATAGGCGCTGGGTATATTACTCTCTAGCTAGCGTGGTTATTTCCATTGTATGTAATATCAAGAGTTCAACTTTGGACTTACGTGGAAGGCCAGAGCAGGTTCCACCACCGAGGAAGGGATCATTGTACCTCAGGCCTCTGCTCATAGGAACGGGTCCTGTATTGGGTTTGGCCCCAGCACCTGAGTATACATTCCTTGTATATGCTTCCCCTGTTGGAAACTATTTCAAGGTCAGTCACCTGTCTTTTTTTTTTTGGGAAAGAAAATAATAGCTGAAGCTTCTGCGAAACGTTTAAAACACGTGGAATTCACAAGACCATCCTTTTGCAGGAGGGTTCGGCGCCGCTTAACTTGTACGTGGAGGAGGACTTTGATCGCGCTTCTCGTCGCGGAACCGGAAGCGTCAAAACCATTTCAAATTACGCTCCAGTAATTTCCCCTATTCCTTTGACAGAATATAATTGATAGACATTATCTGATAGGGTGGATATATATATTGTTTGTGGTGAAATTAATGTAGGTACTAATGGCACAAATGAGAGCAAAGAACAGGGGATTTTCAGACGTGCTGTACCTGGACTCACAGACCAAGAAACATCTGGAGGAGGTGTCCTCCTGTAACATTTTTATTGCCAAGGTCTGATTCTAGATATGCGTGCACCGTTACACATTTTTGCCTCTACGAGCAATATTGTCGCAAGTACCCCGTCTTATTTGTCTTTTGATCCCCCACCCAAAAAAAAGGGCAAAAACATCTCAACACCAGCCACCAACGGAACCATTCTCGCTGGAATCACCAGAACAAGTGTCATTGAAATTGCTCGTGATCATGGCTACCAGGTGCCACTTCTTGTATGCCTATATTTGAAAAGAAAACTTGGCATTCAAATCCGCATTTTTGGTTTTTCCTGTTGGTTTCGAAGCAGTGTCACCAGGAAGCTTTTTACTTGTTAAAGTTCACTTGATGGAATTATAATAATTAATCCCACAAAAAATGTGATCAGGTGGAGGAGCGTGCGGTTGGAGTGGATGAATTAGCGGAGGCCGATGAAGTTTTCTGCACTGGAACTGCCGTTGGTGTTGCCCCTGTAGGCACCATCACGTATAGAGACACAAGGTAAAGCAACGTAACGCCTCTCACCAATCTACTACCCACCAAAAAAAAGAAAAAAGGATCATTGATGTGTCCCATAATTGCTGAAGTGTGGAGTTGTGTGTACAGGATGGAATATAAAACTGGCAGTGGAACTATTTGTCAAGAGCTGTGTTCCACCCTCACCGGCATTCAGACAGGAAATATTGAAGATAGCAAAGGGTGGGTCCACGAGATTTACTGAGCTCCTGGGATTTTGCTCGGACGAAAGTGTTGTGAAAAATTGGAGATCGATCGTGTACCATTTCACAATAAAGAAAATTGTTAAGAGTCGTGATGTGTCTGTGCGATTACTGGGGATGGTAGAGTTTTGAAAGAAAAGTAACATCCCCCCCGGGAGGGTGTTATTTTGTACATGTTGTTTTACTGTGACAGTATAAAGAAGATTAAATACGACTGGAGAGGGGACGTATTGGGTGTTTGCCGCTAACTTAAAGGAGGCATATGAAGATCACCGGAGAATCCATTGTTAACGTGAGCGCCTGGGAGATTTCCACTTATCAAATTAGAATTGGTTGTGAGGGCTGAGGAATGTTAGTTTAGAAATTGGTTGGCTGTGCGAAAAGAAAGCTCATTAATGGTAATGACAATGATATATATTCCTCCGATCATATTTATAAATTATTTTTATTAATTTTATCAAATTAATATAATAAAAATATAAAGATTATAAGTAAGTAAAATTTTAAATAAAACCTTCAAATAAAAAGTAAAAATAAGTTAATCAATCATATAATATTATTTTTTATCTTTCTCTCTCTTACTTTTTAATAATAATTTAAAAATTTTAATTTAAAATAAAATAATTCTAACAATAAATGACTTATAAAATAAATTAAATTATATTTATAAAATAAAATAGTTATTTTTAAAAAGTGATTTATATATTAGGCTGGAGGAGTAATTGACTTCTAAACACGAATCTACTTGATAAAAACGCTGCCTGGTATGTTACATTTGGATTTTGAGTGGCGGTAAAAAGCGGACATGGCCACGGGGGTAATTGCCAATTGGTGGGCATGGGTGGGTTGGTGACTTGGCCGTGGGCGTTATCTTTGGCCGCACGGCGGGCCATAGGCACGTGTCATGTATGGATTGGATGACACTACTCGTTCCCAAATATTAAAAATATGAGTGTAATAAAGAATAATATTTAAAAATAATTAACTTTTATTAAAACAAATATTTAAAAATAAATTTAATAAAATTTATTATTATAATAAAAATTATGTTTTGATATTTTTTCAAAAGTGAGCTCAATGACTTGAAAGCTATTTAAATTACATAGACCCTCCGTTTCTATTCATAAGAAAAATTATTATTTTTTACTTTTTTTATAAATAAAATTATATATTTTAATAAACATTTATTATACATTTTTTAGATCACCTCTCATAATTTATATTAATGAGAAATAATTATTTGAAAGAAAAGTAACATCCCCCCCCGGGAGGGTGTTATTTTGTACATGTTGTTTTACTGTGACAGTCTAAAGAGATTAAATACGACTGGAGAGGGGACGTATTGGGTGTTTGCCGCTAACTTAAAGGAGGCATATGAAGATCACCGGAGAATCCATTGTTAACGTGAGCGCCTGGGAGATTTCCACTTATAAATTAGAAATTGGTTGTGAGGGCTGAGGAATGTTAGTTTAGAAATTGGTTGGCTGTGCGAAAAGAAAGCTCATAATGGTAATGACAATGATATATTCCTCCGATCATATTTATAAATTATTTTTATTAATTTATCAATATTAATTAATAAAAAATATAAAGCTTAAAGTAAGTAAAATTTAAATAAAACCTTCAAATAAAAAGTAAAAATAAGTTAATCATATAATATTATTTTTATCTTTCTCTCTCTTACTTTTATCTATAATTTAAAAATTTTAATTTAAAATAAAATAATTCTAACAATAAATGACTTATAAAATAAATTAAATTATATTTCTAAAATAAAATAAGTTATATTTTAAAAAGTGATTATATATTAGGCTGGAGGAGTAATTGACTTCTAAACCCGAATCTACTTGATAAAAACGCTGCCTGGTATGTTACTTTGGATTTTGAGTGGCGGTAAAAAGCGGACATGGCCACGGGGGTAATTGCCAATTGGTGGGCATGGGTGGGTTGGCGACTTGCCGTGGGGCGTTCTCTTGGCCGCACGGCGGGCCATAGGCACGTGTCATGTATGGATTGGATGACACTACTCGTTCCCAAATATTAAAAATGTTGTGAGTGTAATAAAGACATAATATTGAAAAATAATTAACTTTTATTAAACAAAATATTTTAAAAATAATTTAATAAAATTTAATTATTATAATAAAATTATGTTTGATATTTTTTTCAAAAGTGAGCTCAATGACTTGAAAGCTATTTAAATTACATAGACCCTCCGTTTCTATTCATAAGAAAAATTATTATTTTTACTTTTTTTATATAAATAAAATTATATATTTTAATAACATTTATTATACATTTTTTAGATCACCTCTCATAATTTATATGAATGAGAAATAATTAATATATGCTTATATTGATTAACGTATGATATTTTAGTCCAATTTTTTTATTTTAGACATAATTATTATGGTTAACTAATTTTTTTAAATTGTGTAATACAATTTTTTTTTTTTGTATATATCGAAATGGAGGGAGTATTATGAAAAGTACTTTGAATGTACTATTTACAAAAGAAATTAATTTTATAATTCATGATTTTTATTATGCAAATACAATATATTAAAATTTTTTAAAAATGTATGTGATAAAAATTTAAATAACATAAAATTTGATGTATTAAATAATAAGAATATAAAACATAAAATTTGATATATTGAAGAAAAAATTATATAAATAGTTCAATATATATTAATATCAGAATTAATATTATCATAAATAACAATTTTATAAAGCGAGAATTTAAATTAGTTTAAACGAAGGTGTGATAATACTTAAAACCTTAGTGCATTTTTAGAATTCATTTTTAAATAGCTACAATGAGTTACATTTAATCATACCTAAGATGTGGTTTCATTTTAAATTTTTTATCCAGATACGTTTTAACTTTTAGAAAGTGCCGAAAGGACTTTATAAAAACTAAAAAAGTATCTAAATAGGCTCTAGATAAGTTTTGACATGATGGAAACCAAGTCATGCTTCATTTGAAATCGTCTTTTTATACTTTTTTGTTTGGTTGATCCTGTTCAACCAGTTTCTTTGTAATCATGCGAGTTGCCTTGTCTTAATCATCATATCATTCTGCTTCAAGGATCAATAATTTTTCTCAAAGCCCTTACAATAAGCGGTGATGAGATTCTTTTTTTAATATGGTTATAATGGTAATTGCCCAAAAATTTTCTGTAAAAACAGAATTTAGAAATTTCAAAATAATTAGTTAATTATTTGGTGTTTTGGGGGGGGGGGGGGAGCAGCAGGCAAATAACATGCGGAAATTGTGGTTGTGTGGAACCCCACAAGAAGGAAAAAAGGAATTGTCGTTGTATTGAAATAAAAGGATTATTTTTAATGCTACCACGCGAGAAAAAATTGATCTGTTGCATCATACAGCAAATTGTGGTTGTATTGGAACCTTGGAAGAAAAGCATGCCTCAAACGTCTGGCACACGTCGTTCATCCAATTTTACAATTCCAATTATTAAACTTTTAATTTACATAATAGACTATAATATAATTTATAATAATTCCATTACTATCGAGCTTGATACTTTTTTAGGTAAAATAAGTTTAATACAATTTACCCTATTATTAGGATTTGACACAGCCACATGATATATTTTAAAAGTTAAAAAAAAAAATGAACATCAACCGAAAGCACCCTCTTCAAGCGTATCAACGAAGCCCAGAAACTCAGAAACTCAGTAACATAGAGATCTAAACTAGAACGAAACGTTGCAAGACTAAACCCAGCAAAGAGATCTAAACGCAAAACAACCGAAGGCTAAGGAAGAAACAGGGGAAGAATCTTGTGGACTTTGGATTTAATAACATCAAACTCGAACATCAGGACATCAACGTCGATCAAACTTTAACACGAATAAAATGATGCTATGTATCCGATTGCAAATATCAAAAAAGAAAATCAGGACATCAAAAATGAAAATCTAGAACATGTTAGATCACCATTCACAAAAAAAGTACCAAAAGAAGAAAAAACAAGAATCTGGATCAAACAAGAAAAAATAAAAAACCATATCAAACAAGCAAGCCAGGTTGAGAACACAACTTCAGGGCATATTCCTCTCACTCTTCTTCGAAATCGAATCCCCATTTACAGATTGAGAACATGACCCAAGTCTGAGAACACAACCTATATTTGAAATCGAAATCTCCACTTCGCCCTGCCCTTCATCCTCTTCAGAATCAAATGTCCATCCTCTTCGAACCATATTCACCACGAAACCAAATTGAACCTAAGAATCAGATTGATGCTTGTCCCGCACACACCCTTCCACCTGAAAAACCCAGAAGAACCCATATTAAAACCTAAATTTCAAGTGGAATCATAGCCTGGGAAAGGGTAAAAAATCTACATCCTTTACGTTCGCGGATGATCACAAGGCAAAGGATTTCTCATGGCGTAGATTCCAATGCAAAGGACCACGATATGGGTTGAGAGCATGATGGGTTTATCGTTTTTGTGCTCAATCTCTCACGGCCTGCATCGTCACCGACTTTGTTCATTTTTTATCTTTGCTGACTCTGGGTTCTAGTCCTGAACAATGCTCTCGATAAGACATTGGTGACGATTTAGCCAGTAGAGTATTGGGTCTGAACTTTTTATTCTCAATTTCTTTAGCCATCCCACAGCGTCCTAGAAGATAGTAGCCATCAAGAGGGTGAGGCATTTGAAAGATCCCATAGAAGCCTTGTATTTTTAGTCTCTAGATTCAGAGATTGCTTCGATTGGTATTGAGCCATAAATTTTGCCACGTGTTTAGCCCAAAAACAGATGAATTTTTCTATGTGGAACATGAGGTGGCAATTCAAATGACACAAAATCGTCAAATTTTAAACAGTCAAAATAATCAAACTCTAATGATGAGGTGAATTTGTATCTTAATATAAAAAATATTAGAATAAAATTGCCCTAAAAAATGAGGTGTGTCTTAGGGCAGATTTATATCTAAACTCATTGTAGTTTCATATTTTTTTCCCAATTAAAACCTTTTATTATCCAAGAGAAGCCATCAGGCCCAACGTAAGCCAAGTGTATTTTTGTCTTGAAAACCAATAATTTACTATAGATCGGGTCATTTTATTTCCTTTGACAAATTTGAGAACACAAACGGGGGGTATTTGAAGGAACAAAGGTATAGAGGAAGGAAAATGGGAATCTGCTTGTGTTACCGCCTAGTGCAAAATGGCATACGGAAGCAGATTGGCGCGGAAAGAATGTGCATGCCGTCGCCTTCCGTGGATCACTTTGTGGGATGCTCTGAAGCGAACTGCTCTGGCTAACAGGCGTTGGGTAACTAATATTCATCTTGTACTGCTCTGGCTAGCAGGCGTTGGGTAACTAATAAAGTAGGTGACGAGATTTAAAGCTTGAAGGCCACCATTTCTATGGAGTTCTGCAAGTCTAGGTCAAGCTCTTGGTAACATCTTGAGTTGTGAACTTTGAAGTTTGAGTGTTTAATAAGGGTAAATTGGTCAAAATAAATGATTTATGAATTAATGATGTTTTAGATTGTTGGATAGCACAGTACGCGTGTATTTACATTACAACATGCAGTGAGAATAGAGAATACTGATCGATCGCTCCTAATTTATTGTCTAACCAATCTGATTGCTAATATAGGTAGTACATTAAACTACATGACCCAAAATCAGTAGACGTCGAGTTTTAGCACTGTGCAAGTTGGTGTTATGGATCATTTGCAGGAGGGTACGGCCCCACTTCACTTGTACGTGGAGGAGGAATTTGATCGTGCTTCTCGTCGCGGAACTGGAAGCGTCAAGACCATATCCAACTACGCTCCTGTAACCACAATTCTCGCCGCTTAACCATATGCTTTGATGTTGTTTATTAATTCTTCGGCCGCGTCTGAAACCCTGAATTAGCGAGAAATCTTTGATTGATATATGCATGACATGACGCCTATTTGATTTTGATAAGCTTGAGAGTGTTTGAAACGCAGGTCATGGAGGCACAAGTGAAAGCCAAGAGTATGGGATTTTCAGAGATGTGCTATACCTGGACGCGGTCACTAGGAAAAATCTAGTGGAGGTTTCTTCTAGCAACATTTTCATAGCAAAGGTATTTATTCATCCTTCCAATTATTTAACCATTCTCCCACTTTGATTCCAAATTTTGCCTCTCCATATATGCTTGCAAGCGCGGCCCATCTAATTTGTTTTTGGAATTCCCAGGGCAAAAACATCTCGACGCCTACTACCAACGGATCCATTCTTCCTGGAATAGAAAAAGTGTCGTCGAAATTGCTCGTGATCATGGCTACCAGGTACTGTTATAATCTATCTATCTATCAGAAATGAAACTCGGTATTCTATCCGCATTTCTTTTTGGTTATATTGCTTCTTGGTTTGTTTTATGCTCAACCAGTCTCACTGTAATCTTAACTTGCAGTCGCTACTGAATACTGATCCCCGTAGTTCTGAGTTTGAAGATAATAACAGCAGGAACTTTCCTGAAAGCAGAGCCATCAAGAATAAACTAATTAAAGAGATGGATACAATGAAATGAAAAATGAAATTAATGGTGGAATTATAACGATGACTCCCGAAAATGCGATCAGATGGAGGAGCGTGCTGTGGAAGTGGATGAATTAGCGGAGGCTGATGAAGTTTTCTGCACTGGAAATGCTGTAATTGGTGTTGCTCCTGTAGGTTCCATCGCTTACAGGGATACAAGGTAAAATTACTAATCATTTTGAAAATGAGAATCATACTTATTTTCACTCCAAATACTTTAACCAGGCGGGAAAAAAATTCCTTCACGTGTCCCAAAATTGCTAAAATGTGGGGATATATATGTACAGGATGGAATACAAAACAGGCGGTGGAACTATTTGTCAAAGCTGTGCTCCGCTCTCACACGTATTCAAACTGGTAAAATTGAAGATACCAGAGGGTGGGTCCTTGAGATTCACTGAAGTCCTAGCATTTTCATACAACAATGCTATGTGGTTGAAAAATCTGCACACGTTTTCAAAACTTGCCGTTTAATATATGCAAGGCTGCAAAGTGGGGATCCGTCTTCGGTGCAGAGCACCGAGGTGCTGATCACCAAGTTGAATTTCAATTTCAATTTTATTTATTATAAAAAAAATTATAAATTTTTTGATAAATATATTCGTCATCAATTTAATAGTGCTGATTGAATCTAAATAGTTTATTTTAATATTATAATTTTTATAAATTAGCTATTTAAATGTATTTTGAATTGAACTAGTTTCCTTATTTATTCTAAGGATAAGTACATGGTGGTTATTCTTGGGATGAGATCTGGACTCTCCAGATTTTAATTTAAATGATCCAAATTAAAAGTATTGTTATATAATTTTATATTATATTTTAATATTTTTTATTTTTAATTTTGTTTACATTAAATTTAAAGAGTCCAATTTAATATTAAACTCTGCACAGTCTATATCTGTTTTTAATAAATTTTTAATATGATCTGAACTCTGTAGATTGTAAAGCATATTTGAATAATTAATATACACCAATTATAAAATTTTAAAAATAGATCATATTTAAAATAAAAAATTTCTTTAAATTATTTTATAATTTTTATAAATTTTTATTTTAACAAATATAATATAAAATAATACTTGAAATTTGAACCATCCAAATTAAAATTTAGATGGTCAAGATTTTCTCCCAAGGATGAGCGCATGGTGCTCATCCCAAGGAAACTAAATTTTACTCTCAATCTATATTTAATATTAAATTTTTATATGCAAGGTCTAGATTTAAAATTTTTGTTTTTTATTTTAATTTATATTTATTAAAATAAAAGATTATTAAAAAATTTAATATTAAATTTATATTGTCTATAGTGCATCTAGATAGTTAATTTCTAAAAATTATAAGTATTATTCAAATTGATGTGAATATATTTATAAAAAAATTTATAAATTATTTTTTATAAAGATTAAAATAAAATTAGAAAAATCTGTGCCATCCAGATTTAATCTCTAAATGGCCCAAACTTATTTTGGGTGATGAGCATCGAAAAACCCTACTGAGTGGATATGTTTAATTTGCAGACGCTCCTTATGGATGACAAGAGTTAGTATGGATACTCTGTATTCACATTTGCCAACCTGATCTATAACAAAATTAAAATTTGAAACTTCCTGCGCAGTATTTCAGTTGAGTTATATATGCTTTTGTTGGATGTCATATACCAGGTGTTAGGAAATCGCATGATGATTGAAAACATAAATTGTTAGCATCATCTTGAAAAGCTTGCAGAAGAAACCCAGTTTCTTCAACACCAGAAATATCTGTGCATGGAAGTTACATTGTCAGTGAATACTGTTCTGTGTGTGTGTGTGTGTGTGTCAGTGTGTGTCCGCTTAAACTTAAGGATATAGACGAGAAGAGAGAAGGGAGCTAGGAGCCAATCTGGCCAAGTGCAAAATTCCACTTTAATTTCCAGGAGCTGGCTGCCCTGGTCATCTCACTCAAAATAAATATCAGCAAACACTATCGAAGGAATCCGGGAGATCAAATAAATAAAAGCAGCCAGGTGCACGCATTTGATTTGATGATGAATGGCCTTCTATTGATTTTTAATTAATCTGAAATATGGTCCATCCAATAATTAGTAATTGTAAAAATAAATAAATAAATAAATACGAGGCATTAAATAAAGAGCCAGGTATATTGATTCCGCGCCGGGCGCAAATTCATTTATGTTGTGCTTGTCGATCTGATCCGTCCGTTCCGGTGAAATCTCGGCCGTCTATTTTCAAGAACATGTGGAATTTTTTTTTTTTAATACAAGTCTCCAGTAAAACCGTGCAAAAAAGATTAAGTTCTAATAACTTGTAAAAATTTGAAACCGGCCATCTACTGCACCATTCTTCTCTAGCTCCGTCACTGTTCTCTCTGCAATTTGGCGCCATTATGTAGAGTTCGCCTTCAGGATGGGCTAGACGAGTGTCAAAGAAAAGAATGGCGTCCCTTGTGGTTTCAAGTTTCGACGGAGTGTTCGGAGAGATCTTACTGGATTGGTAACGAATGGATGGGATTCAAACAAAATGGATGACTCAGATCGACACGCACCACAGGCGTGGATCTGTGACGCACATGGAATATCAAGACTTCCACAGGGTGCAAGATCACAATGAGATTAATACACGAGCTTAAACAGAAACGTCATGGGGAAAGTAAATGGGACCCAGTATTAGCCCCCATAGTCACAGCTACTCCAAAGGCCACGAATAAAGGCGAATCATTGGTGTAATCCTAAAGCTTTTCCTCACTATTGGATCCATCACTATTAAACTTCCCACAAATTTTTAAGTCTCCAGTGTCCTATTCGCTAAGTTTTCCAGCCATGCAGTCACTCTCATGACAAGCAAGTTTTACCGGAAAGCATTGGTTTTCCCATTGGCCGTGGAATATAACGTACCCAGGCCATAGTCATATAAAAAAGCGTTTCTGCGGTTACTATAATCGATTCACCTTGTGCTTTTGTATCCCATTGTTCCTAATCAGTGTTTTTTATATTCCACACATATATATAGAGAATTTGGGTTACTAAGATACTCACAATGATAAACTGCCATCCAAAATAAACACGAGTCGCTACAGGCTCGCTCTGTTCTCTTTTTATCCGTTTTTACGGACGACGAACACTTTCTAGGTAATAGATAAAAGATAATAAAACCTAGAGATGAAGTTGGCTTGAGCTGTACTGAGAAATGATCGTCAACAATTATTGATTTTTCAAACATGCAGGTCCAATCATGCTTGGCAATTATATGCTTGTAATATGCTGCGCGCTGCCCTACTAATAAGACCTTGATTTGTCCTTTCCTTTATTATTTTATCACGAATTCGGGGTTGTACAGTCTGCTTGCTTCTATTCTCCGCTAAGCCTGGGAATATTGTCATGCATGTCTTTTCACTCGATCGTTTTTTCTCGCTATCATCTTCCTAGATAACATCTTTTGAGATTGCATTTCTGTTAGTTATTTTTTCAAAATATGGTTAGTGGTCAAGGAGCAGACACAAGCGCACGCCTCACATCTCAGATTATCAATCAAGATTAAGGGGAAAAAAGAAAAGGTAAATAGAGCTATAGTTTTGGCTCTTTTTCCCAGTGGATTTCTATATATTTGCCTGATTTGAATAATAGGTTGATATAGTTAACAGTCGCCTCGTTGACTTTTAATATATCGTTTTGTGACGGATTCATATGTGACATAGTAGCGTTAACATTTATATTTAGAGAACGGAAAATCTGCTACTAGTTGTCCTAATTAATCAAAGTTATTATTATTACTTGGGCCACAGGGGCGAGCATCTGATCCAAGACAATAATTAATCAGTCTTACCTTTTTCCATTTTACATGGGGCAACAGCCAAATTGAGCGAAGTATTTATTAGGATATTAAGTGTAAGTTAGCTTGGCTTGTTAAGAGGAAAAAGTTCCACGTTAAATAAAATTGTGTTGGAAAAGCTGTATGTGAAAAAGATCTAAAAACTTCAAAACTTTTGAATTTAAGTTTTGGTGTTACATTCACTGTATTCTATTTGAATTGTTAGGTGACTTAGCTGTGTTCACCTCTTTTAGATTGAGGAAGTAATTCAGGTGAAGAATTTATACTAGAAGATCATCGGAGTGAGAAAGGTAGAGCAGTGTTCGTAGTACTGCTATATGCCTAGCATACTATCAAAAATAACATGGCTGCGCTAGTACACTAGATCAGGTCTGTGAAGCACTAAGGAGTGACCAGAGGCCTTAAGGTCAAACCAGATGACGACGCTGACGAAATTTCCCCTTTTCTGGCACACCTTCTCGTGACTTTTTGATTCAACCTGTCTTTGACTTTGGAAGCTCTCCTTTAAGAAGCAATGTGAAATCTGACTACTCATTGTTCTGTAAACCTTTATATAGAGTATTATAGTGCTGGCTCACTGGTCAGTAATTATTATCTTGTTCCTCGTTTGCTCACCAACCAAAAAGGAAAATATATCCCACATATTTTCCACTGCCTTTCTTCCTTTTCTTGCTCTGCTTCTAGAAAGTCTATAACTCTTTCAACTGAAACCAAATGTTTCCAATCATAATGAGATGGATTTGACCTCATTTGATTATTAATTTCAACATCGTGGGTTTTTCTTCCACTTGGATGAGGTTTGATTGGTCGAATTATTGACCCCGCAAAATTTACCGTCAAATTATCTTTCTTTGTCTCTCAATTCTTAGACTACATGCCTTGTCTTATTCTCCTTCCTCTATTGCAATTGTAATAAACTAATAATGCGTTTCTTACATTAATTTTATTTTCGTATTATCACTCATTGTTTTTATTTGTTCTATTTCACGTCTATTATTGATCGTCGATTTGGAGTTTCAAAAAGATATGGTTTGAACATCGGAAGGAAATTAAACGGCCTACCAATTAGTGGTACCAACAATGATCATTGACAAATATTTCGATCGGGTTACAGTCCAAGCTAGAGTACTGCTAAAGAGGGTCAACTAGGGTTAGCAACATGCATCCGATCGATTATCTCTACTCGCCAAAGTGCACCGAACTAGGGTTTGTAGTTCAAATGACTGAGACTGGAAATAATGCAGATGCAAATCCTTAATATATGCACCATTAATCTAAAATTAATGATAGAATCAATCTGAGATAATAATTGATATGTATTACTCACTCTATCTCAAATTATAAGACACTTTTAGAAAAAATTTAGTGTCTCAAAATATAAGATATCATGATAAAAATAAGATTTTATTAATGATACTTTTTTAATATTACACTTTTCATATATTATCTCTCTTCAATATTCTTTTATCAATGGATTATTAAATAAAGGGTATTTTTAAAAATTTATATTTTTGTCTTAAAAAAGTAAGTTTGTAAAGTGTATTTAATGAGTTTTATTAATATGTGAGTTTTTATATAAAAGTGTCTTATAATTTAAGACGAAAGGAGTGATATGCTAACAGAATAATTGATATTGGGAAAAGCTATTTAAAACTCAGAGTGTAAACAAATTAAATCTGCTAGAGTTGAGCAATAAAATGGTACTAATTAAATTAATGCGGTTAATGGTGTCAGATGTTCAACTTGTGCTAAAGAAAAAATAAATGAATGAATAATCAAAAATAATTTTTATTATAAATTTTAATTCATATAAAAATAATTAAAAAATATTTTATGCAACTTGATTCCGGGTTTAAGAAAGACAAGAGAACAAAGCTTATTCTCCTGTTCTGGCAGTGCTAAATTTTAAGAATTTTCAGTACCATTAGCCTCCTGTGTGCCACACCTATTGAATTTAATAATAACGAGACGGTTTTGTATAAAAATCATGTTTATCTCCTCCCACTTTTATTATTAATAAATCTCTTGTCATTCTGACTCGGGGTTGTAAAGAGAGAAGAGGTACTCCGAGTCCAAACAAGCTCTGAACACTGCACATCAAGACTCAAGTCATCAACATGGGAAGAGCTCCTTGCTGCGACAAAGCCAACGTGAAGAGAGGCCCTTGGTCCCCAGAAGAAGATGCGAAGCTCAAATCCTATATTGAACAGCACGGCACCGGCGGTAACTGGATCGCTTTGCCGCAGAAGATCGGTAAAAATTGATTAAATTAATTACACACGCCAAGTGGTTTAGGTTTTATGTATTTAGCTAGCCTAGAAATGTTTGAAAGAAAATTGTAGGAAGCTTGTTTGATTTGTGAATCAGGGCTGAAGAGATGTGGGAAAAGTTGCCGTCTAAGGTGGCTGAACTACCTTCGCCCCAATATCAAGCACGGGGGTTTCTCCGAAGAAGAAGACAACATCATCTGCAGCCTCTACGTTAGCATTGGAAGCAGGTTCAGTCATATCTAACTCACCGCTGTACCTAGTATTACCTATTCTTGTCTATTCACCAGCTAATGATTTTGGTTCGGTTTGGTTGGGTGAACTGGCAGGTGGTCGGTGATTGCTGCTCAATTGCCAGGAAGAACAGATAATGATATAAAGAACTACTGGAACACCAGGTTGAAGAAGAAGCTTCTGGGAAAGCACCGTAAAGAACAAGCACGCTGTCGGGGAAAGAGCAAGCAGGGAATGAATAAGACTATTGTCGGAGATTCATCACTCCTTCCCGAAAACAGTGGTCAAGTTCAGGCTCAACGTCAGTATTGGGCTCACCCACAGATGATGATGATGCCTGTTCTACCAACCTTGCCATGCTCAGACCAAGCCCCGGGTTTCAACGACCAAGATTCCATTAGAAGACTTCTCAAACTCATCAAGCTGGGAGGAGCGTTTTCTGATCAGCCTGATGGGCTCAATTTTCAATTACCAGATGCTACTCCCTCCGAACAGTCGCCAATTTATCAAGTTTCTTCTGTTTCTGCAAGTTCTGTGAACAACAACCAACTACAATTACCTCATTTCCATTACGACTCTGGACTCGATAACTTGATGCAAGGAGGCAGCGCTCTCACCCAAGCACAGGAGGAAATGTCCGTGTCTTATCCACCTGCACTTGATGGGCTGGAATACTTATACATGATCAATCATGATGGTAAGATAGACCCTTCCAGCTCGTGTGACACCAGCACCATAGTTTGTCCTCCTTTACTTGCTTCCGATTATGACCAATGTATGCCGCCACCTCAGGAATTTGCTTTCCAGGAGTTGACTTATCCAGGCGCCCACTAGCTAGAATTGTGTACATTGTCTCACTATGCTTTAATAACTAGCCATTGGTACGTAGCAAATTAGAGGAGTCATCACCTACTGGTTTCCTTCATATAGTTATATCTTCAGCTAGCTATTTATGTACATATAGCTGGCCGTACATGTCTGCTCTCTGGCTGTTCCACGATTGTTTCTTTGCTGACACTTCAGTTTATCTGACTACCTCGTGTATTTGCCTGTAATTTTTAGTTATATCATTGAAATATTGTTCATGTTCTGAAGAGATTTGCATATGCATGAGACACGAGTTTCTAGGTACAAATTAATCAGTTCATCTTAATGAATGTGAGTCACTGATTATGTATAGATGGGAAAAGTCTAGATAAGCATTCAAGGAAGGGGGCACTAGGGGTGGCCACATTTATTCCAGACTGGATACAGCAGATTTGTGGGGATAGTTGCTTCAATTTTCGTGTAAAGTTGGTACAATAAACACAAGCGCGCGCGCACATGTACTTTCGTGCGTGTGATTTTTTCATACAAAATCTTGAAACTATATAAATTATAAAAAATATAAATTCACTTTGTTATAAAATTTAAGTTTCTCATTATCACAATACATAACCAAATTAAACTCCAAAGGATTAAAACTAATTTTCTAAAATTCAATTTGCATATATAATACAAATTCAAGCTTTAAAGGATCAAATTGAAATATTTTAAAGTCCAAATTATGAATAATACAAAACCAAAATTTAAAGGACGAAATATAAATTTTCTAGAATTCAAATTACAAATACAAAATTAAATATCCCTTAATCCTCGTCTTCGTCATCTTGAAACAAAATATTTGACCTCCCAAAAGTAAGTCCACACTTGATGGAGGTGGAGGTGCTATGAACAATCTCACTGCATCTTCATCGCTTAAGGTTAAAAAAGTTGGGGAGAATAAGGCAGTTGGAGCTGTGCATTTTGGTGTTCCGAGGAGACAAAAAGAAAACGGGTTTGCATGCATCCTTGCCAGTTGAGCTCTAGCCATAACTTTATATCTATATTCCTCTGGGAAAAGAATGAACCCATGACACTTCTTGTATAGCGCACATGAAGATTATGATCATATTTCAATTTAAGCCACATTTGAGTCATTCTTGGGCATCAAATAAGTAGAATTTATGCGTGTGACGTAATCTCTGTTCTATTCATGCGCCAGTGTCTTCAGAAGGAAACTGAAATAAGTTTGTTCTTTGATATATGTCACATTGAATTTACTAACCTGGTTGCTCTTGGTCTCCATTTAACTTGAAGTTCTTCGTCTTCATACTCACAGTTAGTTTGCAGAACTTGAAGTGTCAAGATCATAATGTTTAGCAGTAGTAGGCGAGAGTAGAGAAATTACACACGAAACAATGATTTATCAAATTTTCTTTACTATGGTACAAAATATATAAGATATTATCATAGAGAGCGTATGTTTTAATTAGGAGAGACGAGACTCACTGATTTTTAAATGATCTCATAATAAGAACTATTTTATGTTGAAGAGAGCCAATAACAGAAGAAGTCATTTCTCAAACTTTTTTTTGTTTCTTTTCTTTTCTTTTTTTGTTGGGGGGCGGGGGCGTGCATCGGATGTCAAGAGTCATTGGATCTGTTTCTGTTTTTGTTTCGTTTTCTCATCCAGACTCAATATTTATGCACAGATGGACCATATATAGATTAGATTTAAGACTGTCCTTTGTTTCAGTTTCTCTGCTATTTCTTAAATTTTCCATTACCTCCCCTTATCACTCCACAGAGATTTCCTATATTAACTATTATATATAGTTGAGTCCTATTATAGGCTTTCGTCAAACAGTAAAGATTGATGGTCCCCGGGGTCAAAAAGTATACAATCATGCATTTCACAATCTCAATCCAACATGATTAGAGGTCAGTGAACCACAATTACCTACGAGAGATCTACACCACGAGGATCACATATAGTAAATATGTCTGTTCTCTTTAAATATTTTCTAAATTAACGCGGTAATAAATATTAAATTGCTGGCTAGGTAGTTTATGTTCAAGACGAGCTCGCCTTAGCTAAAAGCTGTCTGCAAAATTGAAATGCATATGGTTACAAATGTGGCCAAATCGAGGAATTTAGAGAAGTAATCTCTTCCTTTTACCCTCTAAGAAGAGAAGTACTCTTTTATTATACGCTCTCCATCAAAGCCCTAATTAACTAATTAAGTTATATCTTCCCGCCTTTTATCCAACATGTTCAAGTTTTATTTACATGTTCAGTAATTATTTTACCGGGCAAGCAACGTAACAGAAACCAGCACTGAACTATATATAACTGCTTTAAACATATTGCACTGTTTCGCATTGGATTCCATGTCCTATTTATGCATGTTCTTCAAGTCTACGAAATTGGTTGTGCTGACTAAGAAGAGTGAGAAGAAGAAGAATTCTCTGGTCCACTTTTTCTTGAAACAATTAACAGCTGGACATGTCATGTATTGGATGTATCTGAGACTTAATAATCAACTTTGTTGTTAAGATGCATGCCTACTATATTTGACTCAGAACTGGTATCCTCTTCACTAAACAAACAATTCAACGAAAGATCCATCATTTAATGAAAATTTCTGCTTCGTGAAAGATGGAAGGATAAGTGAGTTCAGCGCATTATAAATGGTTAAAAGTCAAAGGAGTAGTAATTAATCAAACAACCATATATACCACAAACGCCTTGTTTTCGTCTGTGATATTGATTGAAAACCAACTGTTTGAAAAATGCTTGCCTCATCGTCACAGGTACCTCAACGTTGAGTGCTAGCTGATTGCTTTAGATAAGCTGTTCGGTAGAAATCAATAAGAGTGCGTGTTATTATTCGTCGAAGCATATAGTTTCTTCTCACTGGCCGTCCTATAGATGACTGACTATATATGGGGTCTGTTCTGGTCTAATGCCTAGTTAGTCTGCAAATCATAGTGTGAAAAACAAAGACAAGAAGAAAGCACTAATTAGGGATGCTATATATAGCTTTACATCATCATTCACCGCATCCGTATGTAGACCTCCCAATTCTTACTTCTTCGTTAATTTGCTCAAACGGTCAAAGAAGTGATTGATTACAGTTGTACCACTAATTTAATTAGATGAATCCTTTATTTGTTGACTATGGATTCTGCGGTGAGCCTTGGTCATAATTTGTTAAACTTGGTTGACACTTGATACAGATTGAAATTATAGTAGTTGTATATGCTTAATAACAGTAGTTTCAAACTAAGGGCCATTAGCTTATTCTTTTGCAAGTCTCTCAATTATATAGTAACTGCGCCAAATTAAAGATGTCAATATATTTATTCAAATCTCACGCTCTCTGATTTCGGGGTTTCAAACACAAGCCTGTTGCCATCTTAATCCTCAGGACGACGCTACACTGCCGTGGGTTTTTCATGAAGCTAGCGCCACTAGTAACAGCACTTTTAATTACTTAAAAATTGATTAATAAGTAGCATGCGAGATCAGAGGACATTGAAGCCTAATATCGCCCTGTAAAGTGCAAGGGAATATCCCCCACACAGAAAGAAACGCAGGAGAAGAATCCTGCAAGGTAGAACCAAGATTTTTGAAACTTAACAATTGTGAGTTAGCGAATACAATTTATATAATTCTGTCAATTGTCACATGAATGTCGATGGATAATATTTAATAATACCAACCAACGCATGTCCGTGATTGAAGGTCCTATAGCCAGGGCTCGCCTTAATCCTGACAATAGCCAAACGACGACTTGTGTTGTTTTTGTAAATATAATAATGGTATTATTATTATTATTATTATTACTAATCCCTCTCTATCCGCAGATCCTAACCAAATCCCTATGCATTAGCTAATTGGAATAGCGTTATTTGTTTATCAACTGATTATGATACTCACTAACATCAAATATTCCCTAGACATCGCCTGACTAATTTGTTTTAAATTTTAAATGCTTTACATTTGATGGCCCCACAAATATTCTTTGTAAATGATTCGGTGTTTTTTTACCTTGTAAATAATTCGCCTAACTAATAATAGTTAAAAAAAAAAATCAGCGGTGTTCAATTTTTTTTTCCCCAATGCAATGTCTCGGCTTGGGCCGAAAAACAAAGTCCGTGTTTAGCTCCATTTCTGAAAAGAACAAAGATACGAGGCCTGTTATTTTATTGGGCCGAATGGTTGCATCAAAAGAAAAGTAAGGCCCATTGTGAAAAGATAGGCCCATTTTATCAGGCCCATCACTGTGGGTCCGTTAAACCCTAGAGAAAGGAAGACATGGCAGGTGGGTGAGAGGTTGAAGATATTGCCAGTCGCAAGTCAACTATTGAAGCCTTCGTGTCAATGGCGCTTCTGCCTTCGATTCCAATTTCTTCAGCCCCAAAGTTTCGGGTATGCTTGCAGTTGCAAATTTCTACGTCGTTTTCTTTCTCCAGCAGCTTACATCGTTTAAGCTTTTATTTTCTTTGACTAATATGAAATGCACAAAGCATCGTCTTCTGGAGGCGGAAAGATAGGAATTTAGATTTAACGTCCCCGGAACTTCAATGTCATTGTTTCCCTCTCGTGAAATTCCATTAAATAACTACAAGTTTCTCCATAAAGCAAACGCGACCAATTCTCAATCAAATACTTACGTTTCGTCTGTTATTGTGATTTCCCGGCTAGAACCTGAGATTTCGACGAGTTCATGGGCTACATTGCTCTTGTTAGTTGAAGTATGTAGCCCTGTTTACCGTTGTTGCTTAAATAAGGAGTTTAGTTCTGTTTCAGCAACATGGCTTTTACTCGCTATAATTTACTGGTAATTTGGAAATTAAGATCGACTTAGAGAATCATTTTCTACTCTGGGGTTCTCTTTTTCGTTTCTTTTTTCGGTTTTTCTTAGATGTTCAGTAAGGAATGTTGCATTTGCGTTTGGATGAGAGGTAAGGAAGAGGATGGAAAGGAAATAGCTTATAGCTTCCTTCTTTGGAAGGCCCAAAGTTTTAGAAAACGGAGTTGGAACAGTTTCCCCTTCTCCCTCTTTTACTTATAGCTTGCCTTAGAGTCGGAAGTTATAAATTACCTCCTCCTTTCCTGCCTCTCTCTTTAATCGTCAGAAGTCACCAAAATGAGGCTGAATTCTTTCAGACTAATTCCATCCCTTTATCGTGCATTTCCCACTTTTTGCAGCATTAAACCATGTTAGCCACTTTTAATAATTTGCATAAATTGATCTCATACTTGATACAATGTCAAGGGAGGAAGAAAATAAGCCATTTTGTTCTGTCAATCCCTGATAAGATTCCTTTCTAAAACTACAGTGGACATCCGTGTGGCATGCCAAAGAAAAATAGGTTTGAGTTTGTATTTTTCATCTTTATTACATATTTTATTTTTTTTCTATGCACGATGCACGTGTATTGGATGCCACTTAAGCTGTAGTTTTCGTAATTATGATTTTAGACAATGTAAACCGTCAACCAAAATGAATATCTTACCGTTCATTCTTTCTTAGCAATATCTTTTTGTACTTTGAATAGATGAAGTTGTTTCTAGGCCAACCCTGTCAACTCCCAAGGTGCTCAGCAATACATCTTTCCCAGCAAACGCTTGATACCAGAGCTAGTTTCATGAAGATCTCAATGGCCGATCATAATGAACCTGATGAGGTTAAGATGCAGATTGGAAACATGAAGGAGAAGCTTAGAGAAATGTTGCCAATCTCAGTTCAAGAATTTCCTTGGAGTAAAGCCGAGCATAAACTTGTAGATAGGCTGATTTCTCTAGCAAGAGAGGCGTTGAAGTGGTCCCTTGTTTTATTTTTTGTCTTTAGCTCTATATCAGACATTGTATATACATTATTTATAAATCGTGAGCTAGTGATTCCCACAGGCCTCTTGGTTGGCTGCCTGACGGCTGACTTTTTGAAGGAGACATCGCAAGAATTGTTTCATACCTCCAAGGTATATCTTTAATCTTTTTCTTATTGTTAATTCTCGTAGTTTTTCAGTTGCTTTACTTGCTATAATTCAGTTTTTTTTTTTATTGGGTTTGGCTTGATGCTTGACAGGATAAAGGTTTGAACCAACAAGTTTTGGGGATATATTGCTTCTTTGTGCTTGTTAAGATCATCTCAGCATTTTTTGGAATACAAGCTCGAGTTTTTCTTTTGCATGTAGCAAATGGTGGGCTGATGCAGGCACTGTGGTATTGGAAAAGTTGGAGGGAAACCACAAAGGATCAAGAGGAGGGTACTTTTTCCTCCTCTGCTGCGGAGGCTTCATGAATCACACGATATCTTTCCATTATATCTTACCCATGCGTACTTGTATTTGTACAATTTTTGAGCTCGTATTTGTACAGATTGCATCATGGGTACTATCTTTCCATTATATCTTACCCATGCGATCCGTCAAGATTTGTGCCTGTTTCAGCTGCCCTGCCTACATAGCTCAGAATTTGGCCCCCTTACGATTAGCCACTTCAATAACCTCACTTGTTAATGTTGGCAAATTTTGTATCCGGCATGCGCCCAGGGAATTTAACATTATTCTTCCCTTGCCATTGAGTCAATTTTACCATACCAGTAACGTGTAGGACTGTAAGTTGAGTGGGGTAATGAAGGTTAACCATGGCAACCCATCCCCCCCCCCACCCCAAAAAAAATCCTACCCAAAAGACGTTAATGGCCATGTATGAATATTTTTTTGTCTTGATGAAATTAGCACATTCTATTTGTTAAAGTACTGTGAATTTAACATAGTAGTTAATGAAATCTAAGAAAATATCAATATAGTTATCAAGAAAAGTTAGACTTCACAACATGGGGGAGGATTACAGTGCTACTTTTGAGCTCTTTCAACACTTGAAATAATAGGCATAGCTTCCCGTTGTTTTCACTGATCTCAATGTTGGGGATTATAGTGCTGCATTTTGTTGGGCGATGACAACAGTTGAATACTTGAATTCACTGTAATTTAAGAAATAAAGAGGTTAACTTAATTTGAAATCGGATGCCGAATGCTGATTTATACACGAACTGAAAAGTACAAGTTGATTCATTATGTAATCAAATCGTTTACTTGCATCTCACATTTGATTTGGAATAATAGGTGGAAGGACTCCAGTAGCTAGTAATTTGTTAGGATATTTGAGAAAGTTGAATGTGGTTTATTAATATGGGGAAGGTTTGTGGGATGATTAACGGAGAGACCCAGGGCGCCGGGGGGGGGGGGGGTGGGGGGACAGAACGCAGCTACCATGAGGAATGGTTGGGGCTGCACGAGTACCCACGATGTCATTTGTGGAGTCCAATGCAATTGTCTCGTCCCCAACCTCCAGCCGTGACTATGCATGGGCACAGCCTTTTTTTGTTTTTTTTTCCGGCGAAAATTTGTTCATAATTCTAGTTACAGAAATTATAAGGTAAATTATTTGAAAATTACAATTAGTCAATCATCTCTAAGAATCTCTTTATTTTAATCTCGTTATATATATATATATAATAGGGGAACGATCGAAAACCGTAATAAGCAGGCACAAAGCTAAGCATCACAACCCTTAGAAGCAACGAAGCAAACTGCAAATTTGCTGGAGGGCAACGAGCTTCCCGCTTCTTCGTTTCCAGAACAACACAGTCAGAACTCAGAAATAAGTGTCAGCTTCCCAGTCACAGGATGGTGATAACTGGGAAACCCACCTGCCGAGTGACCTCTCGGAATTACTGATTCTACTACCAGAAGCAGACACTATTGAAGCAGCAAACACCTTCAATCGTCGCATTGCAACTTGTAATGTGTTCTCAGACATATCGGCAAAGCAAACCCTGAACCAGCCCGGTTCAGAGCAGTGGCACGATGAACCCGGAGATATGTTCAGGCCAACCTCCATAAGAATCCTCTTCCAAAGCTCCTTCTCTGCTTCAAAACTGTCTGACCATAACAGATGCCTCATGTCCACCCAGCAGAACAGCCCAGCGTTGCTCTTCAGACACCTAATCCCTGCTTTTGTCAACCCAGAAACCAGCATCTCCCTTCGCTTTTTCAGTCTCCTCTGAGTCTCCTTCATGTATTCCTCTGTGAAACTATCGTCGGAGAGTAAGTTCGCCAGCAGGTACTGAGTTTGCGAGGACACCAGTCCGAAGCTTGACATTTTTGTGGCTGCGGCCACCACCACGTGGCTATTTGAGTAGATCATGCCTACTCGAAATCCTGGCAGGCCAAGGTCCTTTGACAGGCTATAAACGACGTGAACGCGGCTCCACACCCCATCGTCGTCAATGGTCTTTTCATTCGCCACTTCCATGATGCTTATGAATCTGGGAGAGTCGAAGACTGTGCCCGAATAAATTTCGTCGCTTATGATATGAACCTTCTTCTCGATGGCGAAATCCAGGAGAAGGTTCAGCTCTGTTCTGCTCAAGGTTATGCCCAGAGGATTGGAGGGGTTAGTAACTAAGACCCCTTTAACGTTTAGATTCCGCGATCGGGCTTGTTCATAGGCTTGCTCCAGGGCAGTGGGAGTTATTCTGAACCCATTTGAGCTTGAGCAATGTATGGGAACTATTTCGACCCCAGTCCTCCACTTTAGATCTCTATCAAATCTGAAAAACATGCACAAGTTAATGAATTACTGATCTCTTTTCAAGTAATAATTAAATAACTGATTCATCTAAAGAAAAACATACGCAGGGTAGTAGGGAGTGGGAAGAAGAAAAGCTTCGCCTGGGTCAGCAAGGCAGAACATGAGAATCTCATTGGCGGATGTAGCACCCGCAGTGAGGACGAGTCTGCCTGAACCAAATTTTACTCTGTTCCCTCTTATTTTTGCCAAGAATTTCACCAGTGCCTGCTTATGCACACATATACTGATAATTAAAAATGGGCAAAAGCACCAAGCCAAAAAAAAATTAGTAATCAAAGATTTTTATATAAAATTTATATTAATTAATAATTAATTGTTGTTAAAACTTCAATGAATACTTATCGATTTGAATTAGTATTTTATTAACAAATATATATTCAGATTTTAATAACAACTAATTTTAAATTAATGATAATTCATTTGGGTTTATTTTCTATTTGAGTTTTAATAATGACTTATTCTTGATTGATATAAATTTTATAATGAGGTCATTGCTATTTTTTCAACCAAAAAAAAAAGGGCAAAAGCATTTTTGTATTTCGTGTCTTTGAAGCTTCTGTCCGTTTTTTCAGAATGTTTGTTTTGCTTCAATTTTTTTGTGTTTGTCAAGATTTTAAATATCAACGATTAGATAAAACTAAAACAGGGTGACGATGTGTGTTGCATGCAAGCAGGTCAAGTCTAAAGTCTACATTAAACAGGGTCTTTCTGCTTTTAGTTGTAGATAAGACTTAAGAGGATAAAGAAGCAAAACCGCGTCATGGCACTAAAATTAATTATTAGACTACGTAATGGGATGTTCGTACTCGGTATCAATTTAATTTCTTTGGGATATATACTATAATAATATTGGTTGGCATGCATGCGATAACAAGAAATTAACATATGAAACAAATATTTCAGTCAGGTCAAAGAATAAATTGATAATATTTCTGAACTTCTGACAAAACGTATTAATCAAGAAGATATTTTATAAATCATAAACTTTTAATTAAAAACTACATTGTGTTCGTAATTAAACTTTGAACATAAACTTCTTGTTAAGTTTAATATCCGTCCTGTCGTTGCCTGCGTGACACCTGTCAACGGACTTCACTACGTATAACCACCACCGTACGTTAAATACGTGTTTAGTTGTATAGTGCACAGATTCATGACGAGATATGAGTAACGCGCGCACTCTAGGACAAGCAAAAAAGCATGACAAATATAGTTGATCATAATCGTACTTACTATTAACATGCCAAAATCAGTACCTGTGTATGGACAATTTACGTTCTGTTTATACAGTATGAGTATAAGTGGGTGAGAAGTGAGAAAATAGCGTACGTCTTTGAAAGAGGGTAAGCCATGATAATCCTGGAAGAGGGCAAGTTCTCTGAAGGCCGATACTCCATCTTTCTTCAACCCAAGTGTCTCCGGATTTCTCTCCAGCCATGCCTCAACTATGTCGAACGACAACTGATCCATCATTTCAAACATGTCAGCCCGTGGGGCTACAAACAAATACCTTAAGTACGCAGGATTCATTTCATTCGCTAGGCAATAAAAGTAAGCACATGCGCGCGCGCGCGCGAGCACTTAGTGCTTGGTGATCAATTCGAACAAGAATTGTCAGGTTCCTAAGAATGTCCACAATATTCTCCCGCAACCTTTATATCTGTGCCCCCAGAAAGGGGGATTGGTTTGGATTCCTTTTCTATGTAAAGGAAAAACGGGCGATGCATTTGGGTGCACACAAAATAATAATGATAATGATAAATAATGGGAAAAAAGAACATGAGAAACAGGCTAGCTATAGGTGTTGTGCGTTGACGAATAAACGAGCAAACCTGATTCTCTGCGAGTCCCATCTGAATGATTCCGGAAGGATTTCCGATGGGGTGATAAGGATTCTTCTCGTACTCCTCCCACCCCAGAAAATAGGGTGAGTCTTGGCCGTGACAGTCTTGACTAGCTTTTATAGACGCCATTTTCATGCAACTCTCTACCTCCTTTTTCTGCTCAGGCAACATACTAAGGGAGACTAGCTAGCTTGGAAAACTATATCAGATTGACTGATAGATGCTAGAGAGAAAAGGGGGGTGTTCAAGGGCTTTTGTGAAGGGGATAGGTGGTGAAAAGCAGGGGTTGCTAGGGCTGCATATTTATAAGGAGGGATGGAATGAATGATGGAGTTCCCAGGAAGATAATATTGCAAGAGGGACAGAGGCCCGACAATATGAATATCCTCACTGAATTCTGTTGACCAATAACCTTAAGTTTTTTCCACTTCGCCTTTTTCTTTCATTTTCTCTAAGCATGATATGATTTATGCTCATTTTATCTCAAATTATAAAATATTTTTAAAAAAAATTAACTTAATGAAATATAAGATTTTTTGAGATATTGAAATTTCATTAAATAAATTTATTTCAATATTACCTTTTTTTTCTTTATTTAGTTTCGATCTTAATACATTAAATGAAGAATATTTTTAAAAGTATATATTTTTATTAAAAAAATATGTTTATTAATTATATTTAATGAGATTTATTTATTTATAAAATTTTGTCTAAAAATATTTTATAATTTAAGATGAAGGAAGTAGTTATATATGCATATGTGTGTATTTCATCTCCTCCAAAATGTAGTAATACTCCCTCCAAATCACAATATTTATCATTGTTAATTAATTCATAATTTATAAAAAATATTGGTTGAAACCTTATTTTTAAAAAAATATCTACATCTTTCTATTTATGCCATTGAATTTTTTTAGTAATACATCCATAATACATAAATATGAAGCAAGGAGTAAAAAAAAAAGAGAGATATGTTAAATTTATTAAATACCTTATATTTTAGACCAATAGGGTATTTTTAGAATATATTATCTATGGTCAGAGTATTAATTACCCTCCTTCC